TAAAGAGAGAAGGTTGGGCACTAGATTACCAGTTTTATTGCGTAAAAAGAACCCCAATGCTGATGAAAATTCAAAGCTCAAAGTTGAAGCTCTATGTTCCTCTCAGGACGCAAAGGGATTTATCATTATTATTATTTTCCTTCACGTTCCCCAGTGGAACACAGGGCTTCAAGCTAGTGGCTTGAAGTTTCTGTAGCAGTGTTTATTTTACAGGATGGGGTTGCTAGCCTCATACCCAGCCTTCCCTCTTTACCAGCTTTTTTAGCTCTGGCTTAGCGAGGTAAAGGAGTGCGTCGGCCGGGGATCGAACCCCGGACCATGTGCACGATCGGCGAGCGTCCTGACCGCTATGCCACCGACGCACACGCAAAGGGATAAAACAGAATAATTGTGTCGAAATACGCTGGCTAGATGCTTTCAACGTGTGAGGATGATTAGAAGAGGTTTAATCCAATTAAAAGAACACTCAAACAAAATGTTTCATGAAGCTTTATAATTATTTATCATCTATCAAAATACAGGGCACAATTGTGAAACAATGAGATCCTCTAAAGGTTGCTTGTATTAACTCATTGGCGTATTATTTTGACATCAGAAATCAAGTAATTTTGTGTGCCTGACATCTTTTTGAGTAATAGTTCCTAACAATCCATTCTTATGATTGTTCCGTTAAGTTTTATTTCCGGTATTTAGTTTATGCTTTCTATGCTCTCTTACAGTTAGATTAGCAGTTGGTTATTATCATCGATGGTATTCTTAACTGTGGTGGACTGGATTATACGTCAGACTGTGCATTGGGAGTGAGAAGATGGGAATACTTTGGACTGATAAGAAGACTCTAGAAGATCTGGATTTCGCGTGAGAATGATTTATATTTAGTATCAAATAGACTCGAAGACTTGCAGTAGAAAACCAACAAACTGTCAGAAGAGGCTGGCAGCGAGGACAGGACTGCAGGTGAACATTGAGAAAGTGGAGATGGAGGTGATGAACCAACCAACCAACCAACGTTAACAACAACAACCAGCACCGATTACCGTCAACGGGAGAGATTTGACAGAGGTTACTTTCTTCACTTATCTGGTTTCAACCATAGGCGTGTGGCACGGATGAATGTGTCAAAGCCAGCCAGTGGGGATCAGAAAGGTAAGATACGCCTTCATCAACTTGAAACCAGTTTCGAAATCTTCTACACTCAGTCAGTCAGCATAAATAACAAGATTCGGGTTTTCAAAACAAATGATGCTGATTGCCTCCAACCATCTAATATCATCACAAACAATGTACACCGTGATGGCGAGCTACCTATAAGGGTGGCCACATTACAACCTAACTGATAGAATTCAGTCTGCACCAAGGAGAGGACTAGACGCATCACACTAGTTACTAGTGTCAAATCAAATGAAAAGTCAGTCAGTCAGTTCTTCTATACGGGTTAGAAACTTGCACTGAGTGTCACGAAAACGATTTCTAACGGACAGCTGCAGATTTTCCTCAACAGCTGCCATCTTCGCTGGCTCCATACTGAAGATCAAATGGCAGGTGGGCCAGAGATAATTAACACCAAGAAACGCTGACTGGGAAGAAACCAACAGGCTAGAGCCGATCGCTCAACAAAAATGCAGGAGAATATGGAGATGGATCAAATATATACTGAGGAGGCCATCAAATGACATCACTCGAGTTGGAATACCACCAATGGGAAGCGAAGAGTAGGTGGTCAATGCGAGGGTGACATGCAGGAGATGAGAGATTATGAGCAATCGTGGACCCAGATGAAGAGGATAGCACCAAATAGAACAAAGTGGAGATGTGTTGTTGTGAAGTCCTATGTTCCTCTTGGAAGCCAAGGGAATAATGAATGAATGAATTGTAGGAGTTCTCTTGTGTCAACTTTCTACTACTACTATAACTGCAGAACTCGATAGTATTTCTCATAGTGGAATTGTTTATTAGGGAAATGATGTACGCAGATACAGCAAAATGTAGAAACCTTATTAATTAAAACCTCCATTTTTACATGTTCTCTGCATTGTACCTCTTTTGACTTCTGTATCGTTCCACAAGTATCTTTCATTTCTCCTCTTTGACATTTAATCCACCCTTCCGTTATTCAATATTCTTGAGGACGACACCACACACACAATATACTACTTGCAAAGTCTTATCGGTAGCATCCACCACACCGCTAATAGAGACCATACTTATTCAATCAGTATCCATTTATTTTATTGAACACAATAAATATAAACATGAATTGGATCCCTAAAAACCACTTAAAACACTGCAGGGTGCTTTACGTTTACATTAGGTAATAATGAGTGAACTGGTTATCTATCACGTGCATGACTATTTTATAATGAATACATGAAATATAAAGTAGACGTTTTTCTTAAGCTGAGGAGTTACATTGTGGTGACAGCTGGCTGCGAACAAGCCATAATTGTAGACAGCAATTTACATCAATGTTACGTCCCGAATGAGGGTCATGAGCAAACAATGACAAAGCTTAACCTTGAGGAATTCAACAACCAATCACAGAGCAGACTTAACGTGTGCAAACAGGATTCGCAGATATATGGCTTAACTTTCTGAGAAACGGTCACAAGAAGTACAGAACAACCTTCAGCAAGAAAACACCCAATCAGATGACGTTGCTTCTCCGCTGACAATAACGTACATAAAAATCTATAAATACCTCTTGATTTTCTCAAAAAACGATCTGTTACGCGGCTCTTGTCTTCTGCTGTTACAACATTATAAGTCACGAAGCCTATCAATAAATTCCAATAAACTGACCAGTGGACAGAGAATATGAATCTTGATAACTTCTTCAATCAAGTTCTAAATCCATAATAATTAAACAATTATTGTTGGTGATACCATTAATGTTTTTAGATAACATCTAATCATTAAGATAAAATAGTTTACAGTTCACCGGGAAGCATTTTCGAGGAGTCGCTGTTGATGACGCTTTAGAGTCTTTCAAGCCGTACAATGGCTTAGTTTACGGGTGGGATTTATATCCTCTTCAGCCTTGGATACAGAATACTCCAAATAGTAGAAGCTATTGTAATTCCCTTAAAATAATAGGAACTTTGAGGACAAAAGTAATACGTCTGGCTACTATTTCTCCACCTGATATACTGTTTTCTCTTCATTTCTTTGCTCTTCGAGTGATGTGTAGGGCTTCAAGCTTTGAATTTTCAATAGAGAGGTGGTATTACTATTACGGTGTGAAGTGGTATAGTCCCACACCCAACCTTCTCTCTTTACCAGACTGACTTACCATCGTCTTGTAGTAAACTAGCGGAGGTTTTAGGAGTGAGTCAGTCGGGAATCAAACCCCTGTACTATGTGTGTGACTGGTGAACAACTCACCCTTAAACCTTACTTAACTTTGATCATCAGACGAGTTTTCAATATGGTATGATCGGTGACCTGGATTACTGTATAATCTATAAATTCACTAATTCTGCATTATTTGTCCTAATTTATTTGTTATTCAATTTAGTACTGTATTCATGCATATTATCACACCCGCAAATGCTTTTGAACTCTATGTTATCTGCTGATCTTATTGATTAGATGTTAACTAAAGCACCTAAATGTCATCACCAATGATAATAATAATTTAATTATTATTATTATGCCTGTAGAACCTGATGAAGAAATTATCGATACGAAAGAAATGAAATCCTCCAACCAATCAAACAACACTCTACAAAAACCAATACTTGAAAATCGACCTGATGCACACTGGCGACCTGGAGTTCTAGTGGGAAACCGTGACCAGTAGGGTGCAGTAGGTCGAAGGTGAGGACAGTTACTCATCGAATAAGACATTGCTAAGTGGTCGCGCTATGTCATGAATTGGCAGAAGTTAGAATTCAGGGAAGGTCATTGGATCGAGACCCAGTGGTCTAATGGTCTACGAGCTAGCTCGCCTTGTAACCAGAAGGTCGTGGGTTCGGACCATGGCAGTGAGTGTGTACTAATGAAGAGTCCCAAACTAGGACAAGACAGCTGTCCAGTACTCCCTGCAGGTTTTTCAGTGGTTCTCTAACTGCTCATGACGAAATCCTTCAACCAATCAAACAAAAACCCATATTAATTTGTTTATTCGATGTATCACACAGTGATACAGTATTATTCACTGGACGTTTCGAACAAAATTTATTGTTCATAATCATATCAATTATATTGTTATATATTATAACAAAACCTCTACTAAAATCAATACTTGAAAAAAGAATATTTCTTCTTCATTAAAGTTAGTCTTTTTAAATTTATAATGAGTACGCCACCGGTGGTAGAATTGCTCGTTAACCACGCTCCAGTGGTTCAGGGTTCGATTCCCAGCCGGTGCACTATTAAACCTAGCTTAATCTGTACTAAGCTTGATAAACAGCAAAACGCTGAGTGTGATACTAGCGGTCGCATGCCGTTAAAACAACACTGTTACTCAGAATTAAAAGCTTGAGATATTATTGTGGTGAGAGCTGTCTGCAAGCCAAAATTGTAGACAACAATTTATCTCAATGTTCACGACCTGAATCGGGGTCATGAGAAAAAACAATAACAAAGCTTAACCTTCAGGAACTCAACAACCAATCACAGCAGACTTAACGTGTGTAAATAAGATTCGCAGATACATGACTTAACTTCCTAAGAAACGACAACAAAGAGAGCAGAGTAACCTTCAGCAAGAAAACAACCAATCAGAACAGGTTGCTTCTCCGCTAACAATGACGCTAATCATAATGCACATAAAAATCTATAAATATCTTTTGATTTTCTCAATAAACGGTCTTTTTTCTGGCCCTTGTCTTCTGTCGTTATGGTATGCTCCATTGGGGGACTCAAAGAATGAAATAAATAACAGTAACAGAAATCTACTAAGATATTCATCAAGGAACTAATAATACTGAATTTCAACGCATTTTCATGTTTAATTTTTAACCGTATACAAACTATTATTTATAAAACGCCTTCTGCGTAAGGAAGAGAAACACTAGGAACATACGTATGATCCAAGAATATTGAACGTTTTATTATATAAATAGAGAATAACAAAACCAAACCGTAATGCGATACACACACACAGAGATGAGTGATGAAGGGAAAGAGTGGAAATCGTGCTGTGGAAGTTGCTTCCCTCCCCCCTCCTTCTTCTTCTTCTTTTTATTCCGGTTTTTATACCTCTTGTAATAGAAATCTGACATAGGGCTGATAGTAACAGTAATAATAATAATAGCCAGAATAAGACTCAGTTATAATCAAAGCTATTATGTGTGTACATAGATAAACACACAGATACAATAGCTTAGAATATAAATGTTTATCAATGTGGCATTTGACTTTGTTTCTCAATACAAAATAGCAGATAACGTACAAAATCGATGAACAAATGAATGAATGAATGAATGACTGCAAATCAGATCAGAAAAGAAAAGTATTATAGAGAGAGAGAGATGTAGTAAAGTAGTAGAAAAGTAGACCACCTTCCTCTCCTCAATAAGTCTACTACTTACTACTCAACTCTACATACTACTGATAAAGAAGAGTTAAGAGAAAAGAGAAGAAGAGAAAAGGAGGAGAGAGATTAAGAGAAACAGAAACACTAATTTATTTCTCCTTTTTTAAATATTAATAACTCTTTAAATATTGATTTCTTTGAGAGTGATGCAACGCAATAAATCGACACTATATAAGAAATCTCCAACAGAGAGAGAGACTGTATAAGAGAATAAGAGCTGTTTTTGTTGTTGGTCTGTTTACAAAGCGGAGAAAGCAAACGATAAATATAATAGCTATAAATGTATTCACACATTACTACTACTACTAATACATACTACTTAATACACAAAAGTGTATCAGTAGTATAAATAGTGGTTATAACAATAAAACAACAATAGCGGCAGTAGTAGTAGTAGTATTAGCAATAGAATTAGAATGATAATAATCATAATCATAAAGATTCTAATGGAATCGGTCAGCATGATATCCACTTTAGAGACGACGAAGAAGAAAAAGAATTCAGAAAGCGTGAATATGATTTATACAGTTTAACAGAACACAGACGGAAATTAGTTATCAAGGCAGAAACCAAAAACTGGGAGGAAATATTTGACGAAGAGAGAGAAAACAAAAGGGTTGATAACCCAGAGGATTAAACAGGTAAAAGATGGTAAGTGGGGGGGGGCGTGGAGGGAGAGGAACAACACTGACCACAGAAATAGACAAAAATCTCCGCATAATGACTATAAAAGTATTCCTAAAGAGTTGAATAAAAAGAAAATTTGAAGGCAAACTACAGATGTAAAGAAAAGCTGAGATCAAAAAACAAAAAAGATTGATGAATGGAACCAGTAAAAGCAAAGCGAAAATTACTGTCATTGTAGAAGGAAAGACATGAAAGGAGGAGATGTATGCACAGACAACAGGAGAACAAGTGAGTGGGAGGGAGATGAGCAGGAGAAGAACTTAGATAGAGGAAAGACCAATTTCACCACAGATAAGTCAGTCAGGCGCTAATTACAAGAAAAGGAAAAGCAAAAATGAAATAAGACAGTTGAACACTTGCCAAATACAATAAAATGGAGAAAGACAGAGAGAGAGAGAAAAGATAGGGAATAAGAGAGTTGAAAACCAGGAAAAGGTGTATCACTGTGTTATTTGACTAATCATAACAATATTAACAACTTTAAACAATAACATAATAATAATAATATTACTAATAATAATGGCAACGTTGATGACAACAATAGAAAAGGCAAAAGTCACAGAGAATAGCAAGAGAAAAAAAGGCAACAACCAGCAGTAACACCAGCAGCAGCAGCATCAGGAGCGGGAGCATCAGCACAGAAGCGTGAAACACACGATGATTAGATTCGTTTCAAGACAGGATGTGTCAATGTCACTGAATAGGCACCAAGTACAGGGACAAGTGTTCGTGCATAATGATAAATCATTTGTGAGACACTTGTATAAGGCTGACTATATTCACCAAGAATATATTGACCTGCACTATTACGTGATATTCTCATATGTAAAAACGATTTATGTCTGAAAATAAAGAAGAAAAAAAGGTGTAAACAAGCAGGGGAAAAATGTTTTTCATTAGTGTAAAATATGGGCAATGTTCACTGAATATGTGGTGAGAGCAGGCTGCTAGCCAAAGTTGGTAGACAGTAATTGACGTCAATGTTTATGTTCCCAATATTGGTGGTGAAAAAATGAGAACAAAGGCTTTGCGTAGGCGGATACAGTTAGCATATGGATGACCTGACACAACCACAAAGAGATGCAAGGTTAACTTTGTGTGAGAAACAACCAATCAACAGACTGTATTTTCTACTAACATTAACCTACAATAATGTACATCAAAATCTATAAATACGTGTTGATTTTCCGTAATAAACGATTTGTTGCCTGGCCCTTGTCTTCTGTTGTTACAAATATACTATATATCTGATGAAAGAGTATTATTTACACTGGATGACGACGCTTCGAAGACAGTTTGTTGTTCGCCTTCTTCCTCCTCATTTTTCGTAAAGGTAGTCGAATTTATCGGATGTTCAGGGTTGAATTATTCCTATTTCGATTGGACACTAGTAACTAGTGTGATGTGTGTAGTCCTTTCTTTAGGACAGAATGAATTCTGTCAGTCAGGTTTGCGATGTGGCCACCATTCTAGGTAGCTCGCCATCACGGTGCAAATTGATTTGATGATATTAGATAGTTGGAGGCAATCGGCCACAGGAAGCCTTGATACTAGGTTACGTGCTAGTTGGCACTCACCAGTCAACAGGGTGTATCTGCAACCTTGAAGGAAGTCACGCATCCAACTATCAAGGCTTCCTGTGGCCGATTGCCTCCAACTATCTAATATCATCAAATCAATGTGCACCGTGATGGCGAGATACCTAGAATGGTGGCCACATCGCAAACCTGACTGATCGAACTCAGCCTGTTGCAAAGAAAGGACTACACACATCACACTAGTTACTAGTGTCCAGTCAAAGTGTCCGATAGAGTCCTACAGGAGGTCAATCGCGAGCCCTAATAGCTCAGTGGTAACTTCTCTGACTGCAGCACTGAGGGACGCAGGTTGCGGGGTTGCAGATACGCCTTACTGATTGGTGAATGCCAAATAGTACGAAACCTAGGTGAAGCAAAGCTTCCTGTGGCCGATTGCCTCCAACCATCTAGTGCATCGAGTTTTTCAAACAAAAATACAATTGGTTATGGTTATTTTAACTAAAGGGGGTGAGAATTAGTAAGTTTTGGGTAGAGTTACGTAATACAAAAAGCTTCCTGCCGATTGCTTCCAACTATCTAACATTCCTATTTCATTTGTTTTCAGCTGATTCGGATAATATAAACTTCAGTTATCATTCTCTCTCCTTCTCTAACATGTTACATTATATATTAAGACTTTCATCTTAAAGCATGCGTATTATATGGTTGTGCTTATGACTACAGGTAGTACTACAACTGAGCTTTTCTCTACATTTCTTATCTTATTAGGCTCTAAGAGAAGAAAAGCTCAGATAACGATATGACTTGAAGTGGATAAAGAACAAAAAGAGTCTCTAATTAGAAGATTTAACTTTCTTTGCACTCTGTAGATAAGACAGATAATGGAACTCATCGATAGTAGATGAAAGTTGTGGATGGTAACTAGCAGAGGAAACTAAAATGTGTACTTCATCCTTATTTGGGACTTGTCAAGTGCTTATACCTGCTATCCCCAGTGCGTGAATGTGCTGCCACTGAGACTCGAACATTCAACCTAAATGAATCAAAATGCACATCCTGGAATCCTCTGCTAATCACCAACCACCACCAAACAATATTACTATCAATATTTTTCCTTTGGATTCTCAGGGAACAAGGGGCTTCAACACCACATCTCCATTTAGTCATGTTCTCTGCATTCGTCTTTAGCTGGCTCCCACAACTACTAGCCATAGGCTCTCATCTCTTCGTTACACGATCTCCTCGGTGTCACCGTTTGACACATACTCAACTTGCTGTTTACCATTCACGTTCCCATTCGAGGGTTTACTTGGTGTGTGTGATATCGCTCAAAAGTATCTTCAGTGTGTGTCCAATCCATCTCCATTTCCTTCGGAATACTTTTTGAGCAATATTGGCTTGATTGGTTCATTCCGAGAGCTCTCTGTTGTCAATACTCTCCGGTTGGTTATCTGATGTTCAGTATGGAACGAAGATAGTTGTTAACAAAAGTCTGCAACCTGTTGAAAACGCTTAACGTAACTAGCGCACCAAGTTCCTGAAGCATATAGAAGAACTAACTTATTGGTGTAAAAAAATTCGAATTTTGTTGTTTATGTTGAGAAGATTTCCAAACTGATTACAGAGTGATAAATGTCTGTCTTGCCTTTCCAGTCTTGACTGGCTTTAACATCCTCCTTCGTGGTGCCTTTGTAGTTGAAACGACACTTCCCAGATATGTAAAGGAAGTGACCTCTTTCAAATTTCTCCCGTCAATAGTGATTGGTGTTTGCTGTTGTTGGAGTTAGTTGGTTGGTTATCTCTTTATCACCTCCATCTGCACCAAACAATAAAATCATGCTAATCCTTAGATTGTGCGTCGGTGGCACAAAGGCAGAATGCTCACCGACTACGCTAACGGTTCGGAGTTCGATTCCTGGCCGACGCACTCCTTTACCTCGCTAGGGTCAGTAATAAGATTGGTAAGGAGAGAAGGTTGGGCAAAAGGCTAGCAGCCCCATCCTGTAAAAATAAACAACACTGCTACAGTAACTTCAAGACTCTGGCTTGAAGTCCTACGTTCCACTGGGAACGTGAAGGAATAAAAGAAATCCTTAGATATCGTCGAAGGGTCGGTAATTAGAAGCCAACATTTCAATAGAGATTGAACATTTCAGTCCAATGGAAAGTACAAATTAACTTAAATAAATGAATACATTCTTCTACCTTTGAAGATAGACAATTATTGTCTGTTACTGGCTGTTATCTAATTTACACATAGCCTGTTACAATACAATGCATACTATTGTCATAATGAATTGAAAGCTTTAAAGATAGATAGATAGATGGAAGAACTTCAATGTATATAACTTACTTGATTGTCAATGAAAAATCATTTGGACATGTTTCACTGGGACGGACAAGAAAACTACCTTCTGGTTCATTGCGTATTAACTCTTCAGCTTCTGATCGTGTTAACGATGGATGAAACCATCTAGACAGAAGAAATTTGAAGTAAAAAAAAACGATATTTGAATGAATTGATATAAAAGGTAAAGCAATGTGCAATGTCTAATTTAAGTGAAACATGACAGTGGTGAAAAAGTTGTCGATTAATCTGAAACAGTGAACTTAGACCAGTTGAAATGACTAAATTACCAATCATTTGTTTAGGGCTAATTTCGGCTTTTCCCGTTGATTGATTGGACCGATATTTTTGGTCTGTGATAACCACTGCACAATAAGTGGTTCTCGCGATCTAAGTGGTTTAGTGGGTAATTCGCTGGTGTTTGAATCTCAGCAGGAAAACCACCAGTCACTGCGGATTGCAGGCACATACAGTCGACGAGTTCGAAAATAGGACGAAACGGCCAATGCTAGTCACTACTACCCAGCAAAAAAACCTGACCAATTATTCACTTAAAGTAGTATGAAAAACACTGAACAACGTCGACGGATCAGCTAAGAGGAAGAGTGAATGTCTGAATGGACCAAGAGTTGCATAACGAACCTAACACATATTATTACATATTGATGAAGCGCCGACTGGCACATAATTTACTCGAGAAAAAACGAACAAATAGGAAAATGATGAGTCAAAGTTAGTTCGAGTTCAATAATGATCGGCATTTAATGGAAGTTCTGATAAACACGAAAAGAACATAATGTGTTAGTGATGAGTTTATAACAACAACAACAACAACAACCACAAAAACCCATTCTGTTATGGTGAAAACACTCCTATGGAAAGTTACACAATGACGTATTCGTCTACTTATATATATATATATATATATATATATATATATATATATATATATATATATATATATTCCTAGGAGTTCCGAGTGCAGCATAGGGCTTCAAGCTTTTGAAGTTTCAGTAGCGCTGGCGTTATTTTTATGGGATGGAGCTGCTGGTCTCATGCCCAACGTTCACTCTTTGCTGCGCCTACTACAGTTTAGGCGACTTATGGAAATGCATTGGTCAAGTATCGAACTTGGATCACCTGCGTGACTGGCAGGAATTCTACCATCAAATCATTGACACACCTACACTGTCATGATATCATTAAATTACTTACTCTTGCGAGTGCTGTTCTCAGTAACAAGTGGTCTGAACTATCACTAAAGTAGACCAATATAGTTGAGCAGAAAGCAAATAAAGCAAGAACGAACATATTTGAAAATATGTTTGTTCTTTCTGGGTTCAATCTAGTAAAGGTAACTAGTTAAATAAAAGAGAATAGGTAAGGAAAGTATGAAGACGTCTTGAATTTCCGAAAAAAGAGATAAATTTCTATGACATTAAGGACGATTTCAGTTCGAACCATTGATTTCTAGCCTCTTGAAGAACCCAGTGACGCTATCTACAACATTTTATGTAATTCAGATCAAGAGGTCAAGATTTTAAAAGACTGATCACAATATTAATTATTTAACCATCCTAATCAAATATCAGCTAACATCACTCAAAGCCAGAATCGGAAAGGCAAAAAATCTGAAACCAATTTGAAAATCTTCTGCACTCCACTCATCAGCCAGCATAAACAACAAGATTCGGATTTTCAACACCGATGTGAAGCCAGTAAGTTCTTCTATACGAGTCAGAAACTTGGCCAGCGTGTCACGAGAAGCATTTCCAACAGCCTGTTGCAGACTTTTATCAACAGCTGCCACCTTCCTTGGCTTCATATTGAAGAACAAATGGCAGGCTGGTCAGAAAGAATTAGCAACAAGAAACTCTGGCTGGGAACAAAGCAACCAAGAGCCGATTGCTCAACAAATATGTAGGAAAAAATGGAGATGGATTGGGCATACACTGAAGAGGCCGTCGAGTGACATCGCAGGCAATGCAGGCCATCGGTCAAGTGGAATCCCAATGGGAAGCGATGAGTGGGTCATCGGTGCGACGATGATATGGAGGAGATCGTGTGACGAGAAGGAGGAGATGAGAGATTATGGGCAATCGTGGACACAGATGAAGAGGACAGCAGAAAATAGAACAAAGTGGAGATGTGTTGTTGAAGTCCTTTGTTCCACTCGGAACCCAAGGGAATAATAATAATAATCATTCATCCCGAAAGTCCGTAGCTAGACATGCACTATCGAGTAATGCACTTTTCTCGTCTTACGATCCATCACCTAAAACCTCAAAATGATTTATTCTAATATATAGGCATATATATACTTCAAATAGTTCATCCAATTACCAAGAGTTGAAAATCAATTTAAAGAAATACAACAGAAAATACTATTAATTTTACACAACACACACACTAATGTACAAAGATTACTCGTATCGCTGACAAAGTTAATTGTAACTTTACAGACAATGATTAATAAGTACTGCAGATTGTCAGTCAATCACAAACAAATATCATTGGTAAAGCGGAGATCAATCAATTCTACATCATCTGATCAACTTACCCACCACTAAGAACTAGAAACAAAGAAATTATGATCAGACAAAGAGAGAGAGGATATCAAACAGTTTGTAAAACGATGTCCTAGTGATACAATACAATTAGATAAACACGATAACACATTAAGCGCGACAATTCGTATTCAAATCAATTGGACATAGCTTAATAGTCTCTTTTGAATAACTCATTGAGATGTCTGGAACCATAGATAGATTGTGTTTAGGTTTCGATTGGAACACAAACAGATGACATGGGGACACTGAATTTAAATCGGTTATAAGAAGAAGAGGAAAAAGTAAGGGTTTACAATTCCAATATCCAAGTCATGGCTATTATTATCAATTATTTAAAAAAATTTATTCCTTAGCGTCCCCAGTGGAACTATAGGTCAAATTCAAGCTTGAGTTTTAAAGTTTCAGTAGTAGTGGTGTCTCTTTTCACGGTGTAAGATTGCTAACCTCATGCCCAACCTTCCCTCCTTTACTGATTTTCCTACGCTGCTAAGCGAGGTTTGAGAGTGCATTGGCGGGAATCGACCCTGGACTACGTGAGTGGTTGGTGAGTGTTGCACTACTGAACCACCGACGCATATTATTATCAATATTAATCCTTATATTAAAGAATACAACGACCACATCAACAATAATCATAATAGGACTGCCAACAATTAGAAATAACGTGGACGTGATAAATACCGTATCCCGCAAGCGGATACAGTTGTGAAACACACACACACAACTGCTTTTTATATCCAATTCATCCTTTATAAAATGTTACACAGAACAAGAAACCACGAAATCACCATACATGCTTAAATTGAACCGATAGACTGAGTTTCGACATAGAACTTTGCACAGAAGTGCCACTGTTCAACGCACTACATTCCATTTAGTATACAAAGGAAGGCAAGACAGACGAAACAAAAGAGATTCAAAAGAACGATGATAAGCAGAAATGTACCGGTGAAAAAATAATTAACATGGAAAAACAATCGTGTTTTTCTGGATATGGCATCTAAGTCATCGAGAACGATTTTGTATTATACCGTCATCAGTTGTCTCTAGCCATTCATTCTTAGCATCTCGATGACCTCAACCAGGAAGTCTACGCCCTCCAATGTGACTGGCTCAAATTAACCGACAAATATTTCATGAACTGATGACAAGTTTTGGTTTGACTACCACACTATCTCTTTTCATTTATAACACTAACCGTCGAAGAATGCGATGATGGCTAGGTGGCATGTGTAACACATGTCCCAGTGATCTCAATCCATGTAGCTTCACAACAACATCGATTAACTTCCTTACTCAGCATTCTAAGCCTAACTTTAATATTATTTACCATAGTATACCTACCACTCACTCAACAGACAAAAATATGGAGAGATAGAGAGAGGAAAATATATCTCAGAAAAACAGAAAAACAACTTCAAATAGAAATAGAGAATGGAAACATACATTGATGTGAACAGAAAATGAAAATACCATGTGAAAAACTACACTACGTCACAATAGTATCTAGTCGGTTAGACAGAGAGTACAGAAAAATAAATTGACTTTTGAGAGTAAGAAAGAGGTGAGAATGACAATAAAAGAGAACAACAACAATGAGTCATCATCAAATCACTTCCGCATGTGATTCATGTGTATATATACATATATAAGCGGTAAAATGTATGAGATATATTATATATCCATTATCAACTTAACAATAAACCGGAACCCAACAACTATATAGCTATACATTTCACTTCAATGATAACATAGAAATAGCATATTTTGAAAGCTAAACTAAAAACCAAGGTGTTTGTTTGACCATGAAAATTAATTGTCTAACCTTTAAAAAGTAGAATAACAAAAGTGTCTGAATAGATCGAAAAAGGCAGAGTTTAGACAGTGAAAAATAAGAAAAGTATCTCTCTAATATAATTCCGACAACAAAATGCAAAGCATGTTGATAATTATACCACTACCATACACATAAAGATAAACAGCATCACCAAGAAAAGGTAAAAGGCATATGTTGTTATTGTCTGTTTAAGATAATCGAATATGTATTATTTTATATAATAGTGGATTATGTGAGTAAACTAGAATGTAATTTAACTGATAACTGCAATATATATATATATATATATATATATATATGTCAATGGGTTCGAAGTTTTGCGATGTTAATCTCAATGTCAACAAGCTGCATACACATGTCCAGTTTAAGAATCTACTCAGTCAAACTTATGATCTCACAACATCGTCAGAACAGGACTTCCAATGCTTCAAATCTACAATCACTGACTCTTGCAATCAATACCTTAATGCTAGATCAAAAATGCAAAGTCTTCTGACTAAACAGCACAAAGAAGAACTTAATGTTTTGACGCATAACAAGGATATATTATTAACACGCCCTGACAAGGGTGCAGGTGTTGTTATTATGGATCGTAAAGATTACAATGATAAAATGTCACATCTACTTTCAGACAACAGCAAATTCTCGAAACCGAACGAGAAAAACAAGACGGAATTAATCGAGAAACAACTTAACGAAGCTTTAAAGAGAATGAAGAA